ACTAGTATTTCATCATAAAGGTCAAATCGTGACATTGCTTTCTTATCAGACTCTACGCTTATAATCACGGTGAAAGTAATATCATTCAGCAAGTTCCGGTGGTTGGAATGTCTCGCTATATGGATATCGCGGTGGACTTGAAATAGGAAGTTTTTTTTTTATCCAACGACAGAAGAATATTTTTCATGACAGAAATGCAATAGCGGTGATAAAAGATGGTAAAAAAAGTTGGCAGTCTTCGGCGTGACATTGCAAAATTGCTGGCCCCAGTTATGGATTCGCAAGCTGCTACAAAATATTTAGAAACAAAATAACGTGATTTCAACCTTTCTCCTCGGTACGGGTTGCTACAATACTGCAACATTGTTTTCATTGTCGACGACGCTAAAGCCGAACAAGTGCGACACTTGCTTAGCGGCTCTTCTGGCCTCTTCTTATACGATTTGCTTGAATCGTTTCTAAGGAAGCACAAACCAAACGGCCACGACATATTTCAAAAAGAGAACTACCGTTTCTGCTTTAATATTTATTTTTATAGACTTGCTGACTGTTATGATTCTGAAAAAAATCAGCAGTGAACGCGCTGCCCTGAAGGCAGAAAGCTGTCACAGCTATTTTGCGTTCACTCCTTGTTTTACGCAATTAACAATTTTTATAAGTATCACAGACAGACTTCAAGAAAGTCAACTATTAATACAACCACAGTCAACGAATAGAAAATAGTTTTTTTTTTGTTTTTTGTAGAAAAAGACATGTGCCCGGATATGACTTCAACTTCTTTATTGTGTCAAAAGTGGGGGGTGGGCGTTTGTCCAGGCATGGACTCTTACCCGGATAAGTACGGTACATTCATTCCATACAATCGTTCTTTATTTACAGATTTGAATCATGCCTGAACCAAATGAGTATAAACTGAGCCAGTGTCCTGACGATGGCATCTCGGCTGTTAAGTTTGGTCCCAATACTTCACAGTTCTTACTGGTATCATCTTGGGATTCATCAGTGAGGTTATATGACATCAATGCCAACATTATGCGCACAAAATATACTCACCCTGAGCCTGTTTTAGATTGCTGTTTTCATGTAAGTTCATTTACAGATTATTCACTTTTACATGCAGAAGAGATCTCCCATATCCCGTCAGATTGTCATACCTGTAAAATAATGTGCTTTATCAAAATGGAATCAGGTCTTCAGTTTCTTTCTGGCTCATTGCTTCGATTTATGCCATTAACATTGAATCACTCTTGTCCTTGTATCTAAACTCAAAACTACACTGGCTTCACAACTATTATGTTGACATATCCGGGACCAATCCATGTACATGTGCATGATTGGTGTGTGTTGTTTAACAGGGTACATGTATCAGAAATGAAAAATGTGGAAATTACAAACAGTTATTTGTTTTTCAGGACCAGACTCACACCTACAGTGGTGGCTTTGATCGCAACTTGAAAATGTTTGACCTTAATTCTAACACAGGTAGGTATTACTAAACATGTTTGAAACAAAACTAAAGCTAATACATTAAGGGGTGAGCTCATATTCAAACACCTGGGTCAAACCTGGGTTAACCTGACCTGCCCTTTCCAGACCCTACTACACCTACAATATGCAAATTAGTAGTAGGTTTGAACCTAACCTCCGGATTAACTGCCCATTAACGCCCCCACTGAAAACAAACAACAGAGAACAAAGAAGACAGACCTAGGGAAACCTAGGTTTTTCTTACAATACTATTTCAGCCTGGTTTCAGTAGGAAAAAAAATAAGATGTATACTACATTGTATGGAGCTCCATGTTCATACTGAGTGTTATATTTTGAAGTGTTAAGAATTACAGCAGCGATTTTTTTTCTTTGCAAGTCTTGTACATGTAAATGCTAATAAAAAACAAACTTGCATTTGTTTCACAAATCGATTTACATCATGTCATTTATAAGTGTGATGAAAATTATATTTATTTATTTCTGTGATTGGTAATAATAATCAGTTTCCCACAACTTACATTTTGATACAAGTCAATACAATTGTTATTGTTATTCAATTTATCTGGAATTCATAACAGACGTGATGGTTTGTTATATTTTGTCATTAAATGTGAATCAAGTGATACCATAGACCCTCTCTATTGTGATATATATGGTGAATTAATGTTTGAAACAGAACAGGGAAAAGATGCACTAGAATTTTAATGAGCAGCTTCTTAGGATAAATTACTTACGTTATATATATATTTGGCATAGTCAGTAAAATATGTTTATCCATAGAGCGAACTGATAACATTTTGTCTGCAACAAGTACGATCAGTTTTGTGCCCATGTTAGTTCAT